ATTATGAACATGAAACAGTGAAGCACAGTTGTTGGGCAGCACAAAAGTGCAATCTGATATTCCTGTGAGGGACAGTTAGTGCAGTGCACAACACAACACAGCTGTGCTTCTTTGAGGTGTTTACCAAATGACCCAAAGAGTGACTTCAGCATAGGAGGGTTAATGGATAATAAAGGTGTCGCCCTTCTTCCAAAGTTGCTGTCAAATGTTGTTTTTAATTGTCTTGTTTGTCAGGTGAATCGATTGCTATCTCTGCTGAGCTTCAGAATGGCTCATCGCGTCGCATCAAGCCCAGAGCCACTCTTTACCAACGCACCACCTTCTTTGCCGATGGCAAGTCCCGATCTGTGCGCAACCCCGTGGCCTTCTTACAGGGTAGCACCATCAGAGGGAGGAGAACTGAGAACTGGAATAACAAGCTGTTGAAGATACCGCCTATCACCCCTACCTTGACCAACTGTGGCATTATCAAATTAGAGTACTTTCTTACAGTAAGTTCAGTCTTTCCAAATATGTTCTTGAACCCAGCATTTCGTGGTATAAATGAGCAAGCCAAACCTGTTTTGCTGCTGTACAACATGGGACATCACTGCATTAATATATCATTAATCCTGTTTTGCTGAGTGCATAAATTAGCATAAATTAACAAAGAGTTTCATTGCACTTGATTTTGTGTTAAGTTGAAAACCTAGAGAGTATTCCAAACATGCAAGACTTTCCGTGCATTATGTTAGAGGATGATTTAAATAGCTTGGGCTTGCCCAAATGAGTGATTTCATCTCTAGGTCCTCCTAAATAGTCACAAGAATGCAATTTCTGTTTAAAGCCGATTTTTTTCTGTTCTAACTCCATCTGCTTATTGGACATCGTAAAGTAGAAACAGCAACTTAAGAGCTTGCATCACCTTCAGTGAATGGGCAATCCATTTTGTGTGCATGGTCCCTCTGCTCATGAAAATCTGATAGTTGATAATCATGTGGGCATCTGGTGCTATTTTTATTATTTGTGACTGGTCAGCACACGTCGACAAAATGTCCAAAACAACTGGCTAGGGCTTAGAATCACACACATGCTTATGGAATCCAGTAGCCATAGATGTGTGAGTGACATGTAGCCACTACCACTGA